ATTGTTATTATTGCAAATTAATATTCCTGCTGAAACTAATTTCAAAAGTTTCCTGCAAAAGTATATAACGTTTAAGAAATAAAATATAGAGTACTACTATCCCGACTACTCTGTATTCAAATGAAAATGATAGCAAAGCCTTAAGGTATGATTAAATTTTTATCTGTTAAGTAGTCGTAACATATAATAAGAGAATATTCAAAGTTTATGTTAGTAACTTTTCAACAATATTAGATACCGCAAGCTTGACCTGTTGCGAATTCATTAGTATGAGGAATGAAAGATCGAATTCATTAGTATGAGGAACGAAAGATTAAATAAAAAATGCATACGTACAATATAAATTAATGGTATGCTGGATATTGAAGCATTTCAGGATAGACAACATTTTTGGTGCACAATGGATAATCATGCTGCAATTGTCCAAGAAAGATGCGTAATCTTTGGCGTGAAACTACTCTGAAACATGCAACATATAATTGTCCATGCGAAAATACATGAGTAGGGATATAAAACCCAAGCCAGTTTATAGTTTGTCCTTGAGATTTATGAATAGTTATAGCAAAGGCAAGTTGACATGGAAACTGATATCGTTTTAATGCAAATAGCATTAAAGTAGTCGTAGGAGATAATGCTATTCGAGGTAAAAATACTCTTTTTCCAGCCAAGGACCCACTAATAGGTTCTGCTTCAATGACATGTCGTTGAAGTATTCTAATAATTAACTGAGTTCTATTGCAAAGACCTTCTGACGTATTGATATTACGCAGCAAAATAACAGGAACACCAATTTTGAGCTTTAATTCGTGAGGTGGTAGCCCACTAAACTTTAATGAATTTAGATATTCGACAGGATAGAGGGCTTCTTGAGCAGGATCATATGTTTCAGAGTTTCGATCCAATGTATCTGCACTGTAATATGTGATTTCTTCACCAGGAAATCGGGCAAGCACTTCAGAATTCAACATATCAATGTCATCATTTTGTGAAGCGAGAATAGCTCTTTCTATTAAGTAAGTTGCATTTTGGAATCTGTTCTGTATCTCCGCATAGACAAAGTCAATTAATTTCTGAGGCATATTATTATTTCTAAGAACCATATCTGATGGCAAGGAAATTATGCTGTTATTGTACACTACTTCCGATAAACGTCCCTCACCAAGTTTTAGTAACCAGCCGGCGAATTCACTTTGCACCTCTAAATCTGAAGCATCAATGATTTGTTGCAACCTCATATTGATAGATAGTTTCATAACTTTTACGTGCTGCCATATCCATGATCGACATAAACAGACATCAACAACGTCACATCATCCACCTTTTGGAATAACTGGAAGAATTTGTCAGAAATCGCCGCCAAAAATGACAACTTTTCTACCAAAAGGTTCACAATTCAACTGTGGAGTAACTGTACTTATTATATCGTACAAACTACTGTCTACAGCTTTAAATGCGTGACGGTGTATCATAGGAGCTTCATCCTATATTATTAATGTAGTCGCTTGATGAACTCTGCAAGATCTGATTGAATTGGTATGTTGCATGTAGAATCTTCATCTGGATTGATGGGAATTTAAAACATGAATGCACAGTTCGGCCGCCATCAAGCAACAATGCTGCAATTCCAGAGGAGTCAACTGCTAGTGCAATCTTTCCTTGTGAACGAATCTTAGCTAGAAGAAGTGAATATATAAAAGTTTTTCCAGTGCCAGCTGGTCCATCAAGAAAGAAGCATGCAGCGTTGTCTTGCTCAATTGCATGCATTATACAATTATAAATATTTTGCTGGTCTTTGTTTAGCTGACTAATATTTTCGTCAACAAATTTTGCAAGCATTTGTTGATCATAGTTTAACTCTTCGGCAATTAAAGGATTGCTGACATCATTATCTGATGTAGGAACTGGCATATTAGGAAATTTTTCTAAAGTTTTTCCTTGCTGCTTTAGAATATCATTTAAGAGGTTCAATGCTCGATTCTCAATATCTCCTTCTGTTAATTGAAGCGTTGGATTCTGTGTTTTACGCCGTATTTGATATAATACATCATCGCTAATTGCATTTTTATACTTTACCCACAGGCGTTCAGGATCTGTTGGATGATAGTTGATCAAAATCGTAGCAAACAGGTGACGCAATTGATGTCCAGTTTGTATGGCTGAAGCTTCTTCAAGACATTGTTCTAATTCTAAATCATCTTGAAGAAGACCTAACGTTTTGCACGCATCTTTAAACATTGCATGCTCTATACCATTTACTGTGCGCAGGTGTTTAAATGATTTTGCTCCTCAAACAACAGTCAGAAGCATGCGAAGGTAATAGCGTTCACCTGCATTAGGATATACGAAATATATACGCCCAATAGCATTTCCACATATTCGTAGCTTCCATTTCTTAGAATGTTTATCAAAAACGAATTTTGTAGGAAACTGTGCATATGTGTACTCTTTTGCTTAAGTTGCAATAGCAGGATCATTGTTTGCCTCAAA